AGCTCATGCAAAAATGCTTAAGGTATTTAGAGGTTGCTAAAAAATTAAAAAACCCGAGACGGCCACTAATAAAATAAACTGTGTATTATTAGGTAAATTTTAGCATGTACGATTCTGACTTAAAGAATTTGCTATCATCTTATCGAGGTCTTATGATTATTGTTCAACAATCTTCAATTTTGAATGAAAGTGTCTGGTGTATAGATTTGAAACTCGACTCCTCAGAAGAGGACGGTGGATTCGTCTTGACTAGCTGCCGATTGGCTTTACCAAAATATTCTTGTTAATGCTGTTTCTGAGGCAATCTTTTCCAATTCCGTTGAAGACAGGCTAATATTTTGTCCGTCGTATGGCGGTACTCATCAGAGCACTAAGTCATACTTATAACCATATTCATGATAATTAGTCGAGAAAACGAATCGGCATATCCCAGATTGCTGTATCTATACCCTATATCTAGGCTTTTTTAATGAGATATAAGGTGATGATGTCGTATCTGATTGACCATGTCGATTACGTTGTAGGCGAAACTTTTGAGAATCTGCCAAAATGGTATTATGCTGGAAATCACGAATACTATGACAGAGAACATTGATCTATGTGCATTACACGAGGTCGCCCTGACGCTCAGACGATGCTGCGAACACGATGTCTAAGCAACAAATAACACTACGTTTATTTAAATCTGTATTATTTTGAATATTCATTAAGATTTTTCTTTTGCCTAAATTCTTTAATTTCTTATCATCCTTGCAGTTGTGAATCTTATCCATTCTTTACGTTAGAGTGTCCGCCATATTTTCTAACTGAAGAATGCCTTATTGAGAAAATAGCCGAGAACGAGATTGTCTAGTCCTGGTTTTGGTTCTAATCATATCTTGTAATTTGTCTACTCGAAATGGCAGTAAGCTCATCAATAAATAAACTCTTTTTCGATCCTCTGATGTTGACTTATATTTGGGTGTTATATTGTTTATTGTGTTTATGTATTCATGTCATGAGAGTTGTGATGTTTTTAGTTAAACTCGATGTTAATCCACCTTTCTAGTTCTTCCTGCTCTCTCCCTCCCTCTCCCTAAGCTTATCCAACTACCGTGAATAGATACTACTTAATTTCCTATACTCGTTCCTTCTATTTAGGATGTTGGCTGTTTAGTTCATTTCTATACATTCTCTAGTCTTACGTTTTGATGTGAAGTCCCTTTAATCAGTAAAACGCCAATCTTTGGCCTGTCCTGTATTAGTCATGTGTCAGCAAGCTCAGAATTTTGGACCCATGCGCATTTAAAAACGGTTGCTCGTTCGCATATTTGGCAGGTCTCCTCCCACATAGACAATACTACACGAGCACAAAACCTTCTAGCAGCCTTATCTGCAAATAAGGGCTGATAATTCTAAGACGAAGGAACTATAGAAGAAAGTTTAATTTCTTTTTATTTATTGTTCTGATGTTCAGTAGATCACACATATTTTTCGCAAACTGCCAAAAAAATCGGGCAAAATTAGTATCCGAGGTGAATGGTCTATTCGTCTGCTATAATAGTTATCATAATTCCCAGCGTCCAACCATGGACTTGGTACATTCCAAAACGTATTTATCGGCATCGTCGGTGAGTCTTGCCATTATCTGAGAGAGAGAGGTAAGCAAACATCAAGTGTGATGACGCCACACTGAACTCGCTAAAAGGGCACATCTTTTGAGAAGTGGAATATAAACAAGTCAGAAGTGCTGATAGGGCGGAGGTAAGTCAAGAGGATATGGAGTAAATAGAGGGGCCAGGACAGAAAGAAGAGTGATAGCACAATCGTTTCGGCAGAAATTTGGTCAAGGAATTGACTTAACTTTGTCTCTGACGAGTTGTAGTTTGGTGCTGAGATTGGCAAGACTCACTGACAAAATTGGCGAAACCTCTTGGGATGTACTAAGCCTATCCGGCTTGATAATCTTCTTCACCTAGTGTTATCATGATACTTTTACAAGAATGAATTCCAGCTCTGATGATGTCCATCAGATGATGGACAAAAACTCAGCCCGTTTCCGCCCGAGCGAGGGAGGATGTCTCGTGGACTACATCAACCTGAACGTCGTACTAAAGCCAAATAGCTGTTATACAATAGGATTAAGCCGTCCTCTTCTGGTGAGATCAGCCTACAAATCTCTTCTTCATTCACTTTCATACGAAATGAAGCTCTCCCCAACACTGTTGTTTCAGGAGACGCATCAGAACCCAGTTGCCCTTCGTGTCTATAAGTGATAAGAAATTAATAAGGAAACTTGTGTGTGGGTTTCCTATGCATGTCTCTACCTGATTTATTAACACCTTTGCTCACTACTACATCGAGGAAAGCCAATTTATATTCATTTTCATACTTCATAGCGAATTTTGTGTTGTCATCTTCTCTTTATATTGGCCCAAGAAATTCACTCAATCTACCTTTACTGCGTTGCCAAATAGCAAAGCAATTGCCAATTATAATCAGTAACTTGGTAACTACGACTGGGTATAGAAACATGAACTTCTAACTGAGTCGTGTTGCTATTAGCTAAATAGGTGCTAAATACGATCCTATAGCTAAGCCACCTCCTTTCTCATATAACTTACTGTTACAGGTAAAATATGCCGATCCATTGTCTAATGCTTGCGAAATTTCCTCTACATACTTGTAATATCCATAACTAACACTGCTCTTTTTTCTTATTTTTGAGGTATTTTGAGTAATGACTGTCTTATTCTTATATGTCGTTTATGCATGACCATTAGGTAAAGGAACAATTTGCAATCCAATGTCACTTCTAGTATCCTCTAAGAAGCTATCAATCAAATTTTATACATTTTACTAAAATTTTATCCTTGAAGCCTTTACTATTTGGAAAGGCAAAATCAAGCCCTTGGATATGACCTCATTGAAAAAATGTTTAATGAGATTCTGGACAGCTTACCCTATTTTGGCATCGACTTTCCCTCCTTTTCATTAATTAGATATGCATGGTTTCATTGAGCTAATTCTTATCATCAAATTTCCTTAATGGCCGAAAAACTTTGTCACATCTTATCCGCTAATTTTTAGAGCTTTGGGAAGTCTTTCTAGCTAAGTTCCTCGGATAAGTATTGTCTGAGTCGGGTCTTAATTTCAATTAATGAGTGCAGTTGCAATGTTTTCCTTAATTCTAATATTAACCAAATCATTGCATTCGCCCAAGAGTTTAATTTTACAAGTTAATTTTAGTCCAGAATAAACACAAAATCTAAGTATAATTATACATGAAGACTAAACCTTCAAAAAAAAGTGTGATTTACTTGTCAACAATTTCCAGGATTGCAGCCGGTCACCTTTTATATTGGTTTAGTATATTTTCTGTGATAGTTCGTAAGATACTGATTCCTGTTCTGACGATTTCTCTCATAGTAAAGACGAAAGCTTAGCACAGGTTCATCAGTGTTAGAAGGTTAGCCTAGGGTTTCTTCATGTAATCCAACCGTCTTTACTCCACGGCAATCTTCCTTCGGTTTTGGGTAAGACTATTTCATAGATTCCTTTAAAATTTCTCTGCCAAATAGAAAGTAATGTCACAGTAAGAACTTATTCACCTTGG